CCTGCAGCAGGGGCAAAGTCCAGGTCCTTTTAAACCCGGCCTTGGTGGTCCTGGCCTGCGCTGCCTGCACTCCCTTTGAAATTGACCTATCTTCCTGCAACTAGAACATTTTCCTTTCAGTCTGGTGTAGTTGGCCAAAGTGGTGGCTGGTAAGTTCGCCTTGTATTCATCTGTTCCTACATTCCTGCATATATCTAAGATAATCTAAAATTGTGCCCCGTTCCATGTGAGTCGTAAGGCATTTTTACAGTCCTCATTAGAAAAATCATTAGATCGTCTGTGAACTAAACCTTCCACTGCCTGTGCATTTCTGACACTTTTACCTACGACATCCTCTAATCGGGACACAAAGTCTATGTAGGACTCATCATTCCGCTGCCGTATAGCAGTGGAACTGGGCTGGCTCTCTCCTGATGGTATTATTTTTCCCCAGGCCCTTATGCAAACCTCACGTACCTGTGGAAATGCCAGTTCAGTAAACTGTAGTTGTGATTCAACTGTGATATAACTTATCTCCTAGCAACTGATGAATTCCTATATCTATTCCATCCTCAGTATTTCTACAAGCTTGTGTACATGCTGTCATTCCACCAGATTCGATATTGCAAAAATTCTGAAGGAGAGAGGCATGCTGTAGGCAAAGCTCTCCAGTCAGCTGGGATCCAGCGTTCAGACTCTGCCAAAGCCCTTATCATGCTAATTACAAAAGGAGAATCTGGGCTATAATCAGTGACTGCCTACTTGAGATCTTTTAGCAACTCAAAGGGGAAGGTGCCATGAACGCTGTTAATAATGAGAACTGGAAAAGCTATCCTAATTTCTAAATCTCCTTCTGCAATCCCTCTTTCTACCTTTGAAAGTAAAGGTGCTTTTCTACACTTTGCCTCTGTGCTTCTATTTTCTGCGCTGTTTTTCTCTAGCGATAGATTGCTAAACTTCACTTCCCAAACCTCATCTTCTGGGCGAGCTCTCTCAGGTTACATTTCCTTGGGGCTAATCTCATCTTTACCTCCTGCACTGGCTTACTTTATTGCTTTATGATCTCTAGTCTTTTCTGCACTAAATGCCAGCAGGGGAGCAGATGCTCCTACTATCGTGTCCCCTTCTGATTCAGGCGTAGTTTTCTCAGCTCTGTCTAAAATCTTCTCATCTGCCTGATACTCCTTTTAAATCACTTTTGCCTGCTTCTGTAATATTAGATAGTTTATTTCAGGTTTTGCCTTACAATGATGTTCCTCTTCCTCGCCTCCTTCAGAGGTTCTAAAACCATCTTAACTTGAGCCCGCAGAGACCATGTCTCCAGGGGGATACTGTGCCCCTCTCTGTGTGCTTTCTTTTAAGTTCATACCTACTTCCTCCCAAGTTCCTAATCTAATCTTCCATCCTCTGGGAACCAGAGATTATATTTTTTTCTACTACTTGTAGCAAACCTTGCATCTTTGTTACTGCTACCTTCTGTTTTCTCAGTAAATGTGTGAGAGTAATAGCATAAGTCAGGTTTACTTCAGTCTTGCCCCATTGTCCTCTTTAAAATATTATACTACTATTCTTATTCCTACTTATGTGCTAATCCCCCAACTGGATCCTCACTTAAACAATTTCCCTGATTCGTTCTACTGTACAGTGGAGCCGGACAAAAAGAGTTCTTTTCCTACTTAGCCCCACGTTGGACAGCCTCTGACAGCCAAGGGGTCTATAGGCACTATTGTACAGTTATAATGTATAAAGATCATTAAGTAAATAAACAATCATTGTAAAGTCATAGAAGATAGGAAAGAAGGTAAAATAAAGGAGTCAGACACATTTCATGGTAGCATGCTCACCTCTAGGACGGCCATCGTCTCAGCAGCCAGGTCCACGCAGAGAGAGAGTATAATTCTAACCAAGGCTTATATACGCTTAGGGGCGTGCAAGTCCCCCTGATGACAGGTAACCACATACGTAACAGGAAGGGGCTATACAATAGGCATACACCGGACAGGAAGGGGGATGAGCTAGGGGTGTACACAAAATAGGAAGGTGGGGGGGGGAACTAATATATATGTGACAAGATGGGTAGATCCTAGATTCAAGATGGCAGCCTAACTTTGGTCATCCTTGAGTTGGCTTGACCTTGTCTCTGGGCTCTCCTTCAGGGAAACAATCTACTATCCTTATCAGCAGAGAGTGGGCCCCACCTATTGTAAGACAGGCAATAGGGTCTGGTTGCTCTAAATGGCTGATACCCTCAGGGAGAAAACCTCTAAGCAGCTTCCTTCCAAGTGTCCAGTCATGTACCATGTGTTGCAAACAGCGTCCTAGGTTTGGCATATATTTTGGGGACAACCTGGGGGAAACCTTTCTGTATCCCACAATTCCCCTTTCTGTTTTATTATTCAATTCAAAAGAGCCACGGGGCAATATGGCTTTTTTCTACACATTGAAAGCTGTCAAGGCAAAATCGATGACAATGTTAATGCAGCAAAACAATGGCAATGCTAATGCAGCAAGAATTTGAGCTATGGCAAACATTTTGAAGCCAGGCTTGGGGGGTAAAGTTTTCCCCAGCCCATCCACTATTGGGGGAAATATGAGAGGGGTTGGGTGACATGGAGGGACAAGAGAGCAGAGAGGGATGTCTGCTTCTGCAGGGAGATAAAGGCAATCTAGCGCTCGCTTTACTTGGACTTTATCTCTACTTACCAAAGGGGAGGCCTTTCTGCCGCAGAATACGAGCTTTCCAGATTCCCTCTGTTATAAGTTAGGGACTATAGCCTCATCCTGTTTCCCTCTGTGTTAGTTTCCCACAAGGGGTGACCGAGGGCCCTGGTCTGGAGGACCTGGTCTCTTGGACGATACTGAGCTCTGTTCCACTTGTTTCTCCCTCCGTCCGGGACCTTCTGAGCGGTCCCTTCCTGAGCAGTTGGTGGTGGTGGCCACACACCATCTGGTTCTTCTGGTCCTAGGGTGTGGGGATGGGGGTGGGGGTGGGGCATTAGTCTTTCAAGTGTCGTCCCTTTCCTGGATGGGGACAGGCTTGAACTGCACCAGAGCTGGCTGCTCGTGAACTTTCAGGGGGCCAGTCGCAAACCACCCAAGTAGGCTGTGGAACGTTGTCTGGGTGAACTGTTATGCCCCAAGTCCAGTGACTCATTCTCTCAGGGTGTTGGGTTATGTCTGGGAAGTTTTCATCACTTTGTCCCTCCTGTGTTTTACCACAGTCGGTGATAGATTTGCAGGGAGAGTACATGTGAACTTTGTCCCTCCTGTGTTTTACCACAGTCGGTGATAGATTTGCAGGGAGAGTACATGTGAACTCGTTGCCTCAAACTGCTGCCGACTCACAGCAACCCTAGGTAGGGTCTCAGGCTGTAATCTTTACAGGAGCAGACGGCTCGTCTTTCTCCTTCAGAGCCGCTGGTGCATTTGAACTGCTGACCTTGCAGTAAGCAGTCCAGAAGTAAAGACCCATAGATATCCTCTGTCAAGCTTATACATTCCCAGGGGCGCACGCCACTCTCCCTCACACACCTGTCCCCAGGCCGTTGGCTTGACAGAAGCAGGCGGCACCCTGTCACATGCCGCAGTGTGCCCACGCCTGGGACAAGCCTCAGCCCTGCAGGCCTTTGCTGGCACAAGCCGCTGTTGTGCTGCACGCATGCACACACGCACTTTCTCACACATTCACACGCACTTTCTCACACGCACAGACCCTCTGGCCCACCTGCCTGTCTGCTCTGCCATGCTTGAGCCCATTGCTGCAGCCGCAGCATCTGTTGGGCATCTCGTTGGGCCTTCCTCCTGCCCGCTGCCCCTCGCTTTCACCAAGCGTGACGGCCTTCTTCAAGGTCTGACCCCTCCTGACAACGCGTCCAAACTCGTACCATGAAAGATGGTAGGTGACGCCTCATCCAGAGCCACCGCGTCTGGGCCCGGCAGGCGCTACCCGAGCGAGGCTGGAGCTACCGGTGTCTGCCCACCTCACCGGGCCTCAGCTGGGCGCCTCCGCATCGGGGCTTGGCCTCACGTGTTTGTGTACACACAGGCGGGGCTTGTTGTCGTCAGAGGGAGGCCATGGCGGGAGAGGGGACGCTTTCATGTATTTGATTTAAACAACAACCACAGAAAACTAAGGCCCAGCAGTAGGTGTCCCAGCCTTGTCTTCGGGAGCTTCGGGACAGGTTGGGGGCTCACCAACCCGTGTGGGGTGTCATGACAGGTAGGGCTGGCCATCACAGGGTACGTGGGTGGGGCTTAATCCCCCCCACTCCTGTGGGGGCCCCTGCTGCTCTCACACGCTGTGGCTCCTGTAAACCACAAGTTGGGAACTCTTCCCAGAGGTGGGCTCTGGTGGGCTGGGGCACACAGCACAGTCCCAGGGGCTCCTGAGGGGAGGCAGGTCCTCTGCTCTCGTCACCCTCCTGGAAATACCTATGGTCCCCTCTCTCGCTACCTGTGGGTCTTACAGAGAGGTGCCCAGTGGCCCACCCTCTCAGTGCCACGTGAATGGTGTCAGATCCACCTGAGTGCACAGGCCAGGACATGTGTCCCTTCCTCCCTGGCCCCTTTGTAGAGCCGGCCATGTCCTGGTCACCCTGGCCATCAGGTGGGCCGGTGATCGAGGTTGAGAGCGACCTTCCTGGGGTCAGCCTCCAGGTGCAGTCATCTTTCTGTTCAGAGGTTGAGGACACAAGTGAGGTCCACAGAGGGGCTGAAGAACCCCTTCTCTGCGGTCGCGTGTGGACAGACTTGTCCGAGCACCCTCATCCTGGGGGACGGTCTCCTCCCTAATGATGTGGCCACTGTGACTCCCCAGGGGTCGGCTGGTCACATAAATCAGTCTGCTCGGGGCATTTTCGGAGACAGTACTCTCTCCGGATGGGTACTGCTTCCACTGTGGCATCTGGTGCCCCCACTGAACATACAAGAAGTGCCCACGGGTGTGACCTCGTGCTGCACGAGGCCAGGGCCCGGATGCTCACTGAGATGGTCACTGTGGACTGCTCTCTCTCGCCCACTAGCCTGCACGAGGAGATCGTCGACTTCTATAACTTCATGTCCCCATGCCCGGAGGAAGCGGCAATGCGCAGAGAAGTCGTTAAACGGATCGAAACCGTCATCAAAGACCTATGGCCGAGTGCCGACGTGGGTATCTCGGGCGTCTCTGTCTCGCCCGCCCGGGAGTGTTACCATCACACATGCAGCCCACATGGCCCTGAGGGTGGCCTGGGTAGCAGCTCTGCCCTGGACTGTGCTGGAATGCTGCTTCCAACTGAGGCGGGAGGCCCAGAGCCACCCTGCTCTGGGTGTCGGCTCCCCACAGTGCTGGCCCCTCCCCACGACAGTGCGTGCAGTGCTGTGGCCCATGTTCCTGGACACACAGTCCCCACCCTCTCCCAAGCCGTGCGCACTGAGCTGAGGCCCCTGGTGCAGGCCCACAGAGCCTCCCTCTGCCCCCATTGCCCAGCAGAGACTGTCACTCTACTCCCTGGGGACACCAGGCACAGCGGGCTGTGGCGTTGAGCGGGAACGGGCGAGGCTGACACCGGGCGTGGGGCAGGTCTTCAGGCCACCAGGGGTGGTGCTGGACTGAGCAGGCTTCCTCCTGCAGGTGCGGATCTTCGGCAGCTTCAGTACAGGCCTGTATCTCCCAACCAGGTGAGCAGATCGCCTCCGCGAGGGGCCGTCAGTGCTCCTGCCAAGATGGGCAGCGTGGCCCCGACTCCCGGAGAAGCCGAGCAGTGGGGGTGGGGGTCCCTGCAGCAGGGGAGGGGCAGGGACTCAGGACCCTCCACCTTCTCTCCAGCGACATCGACCTGGTAGTCTTTGGAAAGTGGGAGCGGCCACCTCTGCAGCTGCTGGAGCAGGCGCTGCGGAAGCACAGTGTGGCTGAGCCGTGCTCCATCAAAGTCCTGGACAAGGCCACGGTGAGTGCGCCCACAGCCCTGCTGACCACCACCTTGCTCCCACCCATCATGGGCCTGCGCCCACCGCAGCCCCACACCCACCACAGTCTCACACCACAGCCACACACCCAGCACAGCTTATAGCGTAGCTTACCACAGTCCTGCACCCACCATGGCCTCCCATCTCGACACAGCCCCAGCCACCAAGGCCCCGTGTGGTAGCCGAGAGACCTGCCCCTGCGCCTCCTCTGCCCCTTCAAGAGCTTCACCCCAGGAGGCCTGGGAGTGGCAGCTGTGCCCACTGGCCCTGCTCAGACTCCGAGCACCTCCAGCAGCTCCCTTGGCTGAAGGGCCTACCAGGCGCCTCTGCAGACACCCTGCAGGGCCCAAGGACCTTTGCCTGCCCTAGGGGCCCCTCAGCACTGCCCCGCACAGCAGCAGTGGGAGCATCGTGTGTGGTTCAGACAGCCACCAGCGGATGGCGTCCTCAGGCAGCGCTGGTGGCCTGTGGGTGAGGCGTGGGACTGCAAAACGCAAACTCACCGGCAGCTCCGTGGGGAAGTGTCAGGTGTGGGCAACGTGGGGGCGTGGATCGTCCAGAGCCATGCAGGCGTAGTGACAACATGTCCGCAGTTTGAAACCAGCCACTCCAAGGGAGAGCCAGGGCATTCCACCCCTGTGAAGCCCTTCCGTCTCAGACAACCCACAGGGGCAGTGCTGCCCTGCCCTACAGGCTCTGGGCCAAAACCACTCAGTGGCAAGGAGGGTTCAGAGGAGGGCACACACTGCTGGCCCCACTGCTGGCAGCAGTGGCATCTCGGACAAGTGTGAAATGTGCTCCCCAGAAATCAGGTCCCGCCAGCCCCACAGCCTGTGCCTGCATCCCAGGAGGCGGGCCACTAGTGTGTGGCTGGGCAAGGACAGTCCCATGGGCTGCAGAACCCACAGCCCGTGTCTTGGCAGGGCGCCCCTGGCTCACGTCCCAGCCCACTGCCTCAGCATGACTGAGACAGCCGAGTCTTCCTTCCTGGGCTCCAGAAGCTCTGAGGGCGCAATGTTGGGGAGGGATGTCCTCTGCTGTCCGAGTCTGGGAGGAAAGGCAGCCTGCTTTTCCCCGGGAGCACGTGACTAGGGCGTGGGGTGCAGCGCGGTGCCCCTGTGCATGTGCGTGTGTGAGCAGCCTCAACGGGTGCCCTGCGGGGGGTTGGGGGGGTGTTTGGCCATTGGAGGGTTCCCCTGGTAGTTTCTGGGTTTAGGGAACATTTTGTGAGTCCCTTTGGATGAGTGACTGTAAGTGGAAGAGGCCGCAGCAGAGTTGTTTGGCCACATGATTTCAGTGCAGGATGTTTTGCTGGGCCCTGAGGTTGATACGCCCGTTCTCAGAAACTCCCCAGAGCCTGACATCCCCACCCTCACCCTGCCTGGTCCCTCTGGGCGGGAGCTGGCCAGGCAGAGCCTGGGGTCAGGATCCCACCATTGGGGTGGGCATGGTCTCACAGACCCTTTCCTGGCTGACCCTCCCTCTCCGGCCGTCCTTGGAGGTCCCGATAATCAAGCTCACCGACCAGGAGACAGAGGTGAAAGTAGACATCAGCTTCAATGTGGAGACCGGGGTCCGGGCCGCCGAGCTCGTCAAGAGCTATGTGAAGGTATGTCCCTGCCCCTGCTGCTGCCGTGGGCCCTAATGGGGCAGCACTTGGCTGCCGACAAGACACATGGCCAGTGGTCGGTCTGAGCCCCCTGGCAGCTCCCCGGGAGGACAGTGAGGCTGTCTACGCCATCAGGTGCTGCCAAGTCAGGGTCAGCCAGTTGGCAGTGGGACTGGTGGGTGCAGGGTGGGCATCTTGTCCCCACCGACGTTTCCAGCCCTGCTTCTGTGTGACTCTGCCTGATGGCAGGCTCTGAGGGAGGTCCCCAGCCTGGGAATGACGGAAACACTGCCGTGTGGTCAGCCTTGCTCCTTGCATGGGGGGCATCCATGCATGCCGCCCTGCAAGAGTCAGGGCGAGGCTGCCACCTCCAGCCTCCCCCTGACCCGGTGCCTCCCTGGGACCT